CCACCTCACCTGCAAACCGCCACGCTGGAGGGTGGTCTCCAGTACAGTGTGAGTCTGACTTACATTAACTTTGGGGGTCAGTCTAGTGTGAATCTGAATGACATTGATTTTGGGGGGCTCAGGGGGACACAAGTGTCCGGCCCACAGCAACAATCAGTGAGACTAACAGCTGTGTGCCTTTGGAAAAAATCAATAAAGTGAATGCACTTCTAGCCCAAGTGACTAAGAAAAACCAAGAGAAAACACAAATTACCAATGAAACGGAAAATGAGACAAAGCTACAGAACCCACAGACGTTAAAAGGGCAACATGTGAAAACCATGGACAGCGTTGTACTCATAAAATCAATAATGTAGATGAAGTAGACCAACTCCTTGAAATACGCAAACTACTCAAATTCGCACTAGAAAAGTCCTTTATTAATTAAGGAAAATGCATTCACAGTTTAATCTTCTATGATATAAACTAAAGAAAATCCCCAGACCAGTTGTTTTCTCTGGTGAATCCTATAATCACTTGAGGAGGGATAACATTAATTCTACACAAGCTCTTTCAGGAAAAAAAAGAAAAGGGAACACTCTCAACCAATGTTATGAAGCCTCCATCAGCATGCCACCACAACCAGACAAAGGCATTACAAGAAAACAATAAAATAGTTCTTATGAACATAAGTACAAAAATCTCCACAAATATTAGCAAAATTTAATCCAGCAATATATAAATAAGATCTATTCTGGGCATGCAAGGTTGAGTAAGCATTTGAAAACCAATTAACGTAATTCACAATATTAAATATACAGAGACTCAGGAAGAAAAACCACGATTATCTCAACAGATGCAGAAAAAACATCTAACAAAACTTAATGTCCATTCATAATAAGAACTCTCAGAGATGAAAGAATAGTGGGAAATTTCTTAATCTACTGCTAAGTCGCTTCAGTCATATCCGACTCTGTGTAACCCCATAGACGGCAGCCCACCAGGCTCCCCCGTCCCTGGGATTCTCCAGGCAAGAACAGTGGAGTGGGTTGCCATTTCCTTCCCCAACGCATGGAAAGTGAAAAGTGAAAGTGAAGTCACTCAGTTGTGTCCGACTCATAGCGACCCCATGGACTGCAGCCTACCAGGCTCCTCCGTCCATGGGATTTTCCAGGCAAGAGTACTGGAGTGGGGTGCCATTGCCTTCTCCATTTCTTAATCTAAGACATCTATAGGTTTCTTAATCTAAGACATCTATAAAAAGCAAAATAAGCATAATAAAAGGCAGAGACATTAGTTTGCCCACAAAGGTCCAAATAGTCTAAGCTATGGTATTTCCAGCAGTCATGTATGGATGTGAGAGTTGGATCATAAGGGCTGAGCACCAAAGAATTGATGCTTTTGAACTGTGGTGTTGGAGAAGACTCTTGAGAGTCCCTTGGACAACAAGGAGATCAAACCAGTAATTCTAAAGACAATCAACCCTGAATATTCCTGGAAGGACTGATGCTGAAGCTGAAACGCCAATACTTTGGCCATCTGATGTGAAGAGCTGACTCATTAGGAAAGACCCTGATGCTGGGGACGATTGTAGGCAGGAGGAGAAGGGGACACAGAGGATGAGATGGTTGGATGGCATCACCGACTCAATGGACAGAGTTTGAGCAAGCTCTGGGAGATGGTGAAGGACAGGAAAGTCTGGCGTGCTGCAGTCCATGCGGTGGCAAACAGTCAGACACGACTGAGCAATTGAACGACAACAACACAGTAATTAAGGCAGCAAGGTGTTTCTCTGTGGAAGGTTAGACATGTGGTCAATGCGCCAGGTGGGGTCCAGAAACAGACTCAAAACTATGACCAACTGATGTTTTTATGAAGGTATAAAGGTAATTCAATAGAGAAAGGATCAACTTTTGAATAAATGGTTCTGAAAAAACTAGACTTCATATGCAAAAATAAACAAATCTTGCCCTATGTCTCCCACCTTACCCTAAATTAAAAATAGATCACAGACTTGAGTGTAAAACTTAAAACTGAACGCAACAGTATGAAATGCTGGACTCAAACATAAAAGAAAAATCTTTGTAACCTTGGAGTGGGTAAAGATTTCTTATAGCTGACACCAAAATCATGACCTATTATTAAAAAATGGATAGACTGAATTTTGTCAAAGTTAATACTTTCACTCTCTGCAAGGCCCTGTCAAGAATGAAGACAACAACAACAACAACAACAAAACAAAACAAAAGAGAATGAAAAGACCAGTCAGGCTGGGAGCAAACACTACAGAACCTACACACAGGGAGACATGCTGGAGCATTTACACGCGCTCAGAACCCAACAGCTAAGAAAGCAACAACCCGATCTTCTCTTGGTGGACAAAGACTTGAGCAGACAGCTTACAAAGAGGATCTGTGGATGGCAAAGAGACTCACGAAAAGATGCTCAACATTATGGGTCATGAGGGAAACACAAATCAAACCCACAAGTGGCCCAGCTCCTAAGACGGCTTGGTACACTGGGCACACCAGGGACTTGGAGCAGCGCAGAGCTCCGTCCCTGTGACAGGGACGCGCCGGCACAGCCGCCCAGGCAAGCAGGGTGGCCGTCTCTTGCAAAATTAAGCACACACACGCCCATCATCCAAATCAAAGGAAAACCTGTGTGCAGAGAAACCTGTGTGTGAATGTTCACCACAGCTCTACTCACAGTCGCGCAGCCTGGAAGCAGCCCAGAGGCCTCAGCGGCTGGGAGGGCCAGTGCAATGAGATGCCCACACTGCAGGTGCCGGCCGCTCGGACACTCAGGCGCAGGATGCGGAGCTGGGGGCGGGTGGGGTTCTGGCTGCAAACGGAGAGCAGGAGGGAAACCTTGGGGGGAGGACTTGCTCAGTGCTGTCTCCCTACACCGCCAGAAAGGACACAGCTCAGAAAAGTCCCATGCAGCCCAGGACACCTCATCTCTAGCCAGGGTCAAGGGGTCAAGGTGTCTCCCGGCCAAGCAGGAGACACCCTCCTTGGTGGGGGGGGCCCAAGGCCCACAACACGGCCATGAACACAAAGGCCCAGGCCTCTCCCCCGTGGAGGCAGGACAGCCCGGAAACACCAGGGAAGTGAGGTCCCGGGAGGTGGTCCCGGCTGCTGGACGGTGCCTGGTGCTCTAACCGGGACAGCAAGCTGTGTGCATTGGCTTCTATGTTTATAGCGCAGAGAGAAATTTTAAACACGATTTTATGGTTAAGATGTCATTTTAATCTTGAACGTGAATAGGGAAAGAGTGATGCCAGTTATCATCTGGCAAGAATGAAATCCAGGCTGGCAGGACGTTCTCCACGATCACTAGCACTAACAGAAAAAAACTGCTTCAAAGGAAAAATAACATTTAAGATTTGCTTCCTACAAACCCAATAAGTAATGAATATGGGAACGTTTCCTCTTCTGAAAATACCTTTCCCAAAGCACTCTACTCTTAGGCCTACTCTCTGCTCCACAGGCCCCGGGGTGGCAGGACCCAGCACCCTGCAAACTCAAATGCAAACCCTGTCACCTGCGAGAACACCGTCTGCCCTCACATGTTTTCACCTCTTTGGGAAAGAGATGGTCTATAAGCTCCTAGGGCCTCCGAGCATCCAGACCCCTCGGCAAGGCCAAGGCTTGGGGACTGTGGGATGGGGGGGGGGGGGGGGGGGCATGTGGCCAGCACGAGAAGGTGCAGTGTGATGTGGGCTGTCGGGGGGCCCAATCGGGGGTGGGGGGGCCGCTGAGCAGACATGGCAGAGCAGGGCCGGGAGGCAGACCCTGAGGAGCCAGTCGGCCAAGTCTGCCTGTCCCTGCACTACTCCACCCTCTCTTCCTGGTCCACACCGCTAACAAAGCGCTGAGGCAGGAGCCTGGCTGAGATGAAAAGGTGTCTGCTGGGCCCCCCTCCCTCATGGAGGAGGCTGCCGGGAAAGAGCTGTCAGGGGCATGAGGGAAGGAAGGCCCTGTGGTCACTGCCAAGGTCACTGCGTATCCCCGTGCAACACTCAGACCCCGAGTGGGGCGCTGGCCTGGCGGGTGGGGGCACCCGAGTGGGTATCAGCAGGTGACCACAATCATGCCAGGCCCAGTGTGACTGGTGGGGAGGGGGCTGTGGGCCGTGGAGCAGCCTGGGCTGCAGACCAGCCACCTGCAGGGACCGAGCTGCTCTCAGAGGCGGGCGGACAGGCGGCTGCTCTGCGGGGCTTCTCCCAGCTGAGTGTACCTGCCCTCCGCCCCATCCCCTAACATACATGCCGAACTTCAGAGGGCACGAGGCTGCGGCTGGCATCATCTGGGGGCAGAACTGCCCACCAAACAAGGCTGGGGGCCCAGAACCAGAGGCTCAGCTCTGGGCCTGCGGGCAGACACGCCAGAGACACGGGGGCCCGGGAGGACGGCCAGGACAGCCCAGCTCCAAGGGCACCACGGCCGCCGGTTACGGGCAGCCTGCTGGGGGCTGGTCCCCGCACGCCAACCCCCCGGGGAGAGACGGCCTGCACCCCCGCCCTCCCGGGGGGGCCTGCATCTCTCTGGTAGCCACGCAGTGCTCTCACCCTGTGAGCAGTGATTGATCCCACCCAGGAAGCCCCACCTCTCTTATCTGGTCAGGAAAAGCAGTTCAGAACCACCAGGCAGGCCCCTCTCCGGTGAGAAGGCCCGCCCCGCCCGTGATGTCCACTGTGTGGTATCAACAACAGGGTCAGCCCGGGACTCACAGTGCATGATTTTCTGTCCTCAGTCTGAGGGGAAAAGCCTGCTCGGTATTTTATTAGGTTCTTGCATCAACAAGTAAAACCAGAAAATGCAGAAGGGGAAGCGAGGTTCCCATCTGAAGCCCACAGCCTGGAGGTCACCCGTGTATGCTGCCCAGGGGTCCTGGAGCCCACCTGCAACCAAGCCCTCCAGAGACTGAGCTCCCTGGTGGTTGTGAACGGTCATGACTGACGCCGCAACATGGCCAGGAGACCCGGGAGTGCGGGGCGGGGGTGGGGGGGGGCTCACCTCCAGCAGCAGCCTTCCCTCCAGCATGGCTGAGCCTGTGGACCCTCCACGTGGACCCCGGTCTCCTGGCGAGGGGGCAGCAGCTACCGGCTTCCTCGGGCGCCTCTCCTGCAGGGCTGAGGGGGGCACAGTCAGTCATGCTCTTCCTGTGTCCCCGGCTCCCACCCTCTGCCGGCACGCCAGCCCAGGTCTGCTCTCCTCCCAGGTACCCAGGGCAGCGCCGGACAGCTGGTGGGGGACATTCAGGGATGGGGCTTCTCGACTGGCTGCACTCCAAAGACCCCACCCCGCCCTGCCCTCCGCCTCCCCAATGAGCCTCTTAACCCCCTTCCCGCCTCAGGAACACTCCAGGGGTCCCAAAGCTCCCCTCTCAAGACCCAAGCCTAGGCAGGTCCCCAAATGGGACACCACTGTTCAAGGGAACCAGTCGCCAGGAGCCCTGCACACCCCTTCACGTCTCTCCGTCCTGGAGCCCTGGCCTGACCCAGACTGGAGCGACCAGTGCCCTGCGGACCCCCACTCCTGCCAGAGCCCCCTGCTGCCCGCCACCCCCACTCTGGCCTCATCTGCACTTGAGGTGAAGCATTCAGACAGACAGACGTCCACATCCCAGCCTTGAACTCCACGCTCTGTCATCAGCTCCTGGAATTATGAGGGTTCCCAACCAGGAGCCGGCCTGGTGCTGACGCCTCCATGGAGGCCTCTAGGACTGCGCTTCCACTTCCCCTGATTTGGGGGATGTCAGTGCCACCAAGGGCCCTGCAGGCCATCACCACCTTGTCTTGTGTTGGGGTAAAATACAAGCACAGAGCAGAGTTCCCCAACACCTCTTCCCAAACCAGAAGTTGTGCTAAACACTCCCTCCAGGGGCCATGGGGTTCCCCAGGAGCTGGTCAGAAATGCAGGGTCCCAGGCCCCCAGTTTCCCTCCAGGTTGGGTGGGGCCCACTGCAGACGGAGACCCCTCACACACACATTCACATACAGACACACGCACACACACACAGAGACACATACAGAAACACACACACAGACATACACAGACACACATATACACACACACACAGACACATACAGAAACAGACACATACAGACATACACACACACACAGACACATGCACATACAGAGACACATACAGACACACACAGAGACACACAAACACACAGAGACACACACAGAAACAGACACACACAGAGATACACAAGTCATGCACACACATACAGAGACACACACAGTCACACACACACACACACAGGGACACAGACGTGCACATACACACAGAGACACAGAAACACCAGACATACACAGGCACGCGCACACACACACATAAGGACACACACAGGGACACAGACACGCACACACCCAGGCAGCAGCCAAACTCACCACCCCCTACCTCCCTGGTCCAGGCTGAGGGTGTCCACAGGAACACAGGGCTCCGCCGGAAGCCCCAGCCCGCCCCCGTGGTCCCCTCGGTGGCCCTGCTGTGGCCTCTGTCCCTCCTCCTCAGAAGCTGTGCTCCATCCCCTCCCTCCTCCTCAGACTGTGCTCCATCCCCTCCCTCCTCCTCAGACTGTGCTCCATCCCCTCCCCCCTCCTCAGACTGTGCTCCATCCCCTCCCTCCTCTCAGAAGCTGCGCTGCATCCCCTCCACCCTCCTCAGAAGCTGCGCTCCATCCCCTCCCTCCTCCTCAGACTGTGCTCCATCCCCTCCCTCCTCCTCAGACTGTGCTCCATCCCCTCCCTCCTCCTCAGACTGTGCTCCATCCCCTCCCTCCTCCTCAGAAGCTGCGCTCCATCCCCTCCCTCCTCCTCAGAAACTGTGCTCCACCCCCTCCCTCCTCCTCAGAAGCTGTGCTCCATCCCCTGCCTCCTCCTCAGAAGCTGCGCTCCATCCCCTCCCTCCTCTCAGAAGCTGCGCTCCATCCCCTGCCTCCTCCTCAGAAACTGCGCTCCATCCCCTCCCTCTCCTGTAGGAGAGACAACCCATTTCCCAGCAGAAGGTGCTGAGCTCCAGGAAACAGGACAGTCCACCTGGGCCCCGGGCAGAGACACAGATGGCCGGGCTCCCTCTCCACGAAGGGGAAGTTCTCTCTCCCTCCAGCATCGGAGCCCCTCTCATGGTTGCTGGTTTTCAAGGCACCGAAAAATCTCTGAGCTCAGAAGCCAGAGGAGCTAACACTTAATCCCTTGTGTGTGCCTCTCTGCTCAGAAAGCAGAAGGGTGAGTGCCCAAGACTCTTGGAGCCAGCCCTTCCGACCGGAGGCTCAGTGAGACCAGGAGCTGCCCTGGGGTCTGCAAGAACCTCCTGGGGCCCGGGCGCACCCCCCCCCCCCCCGCCTCTGACTGAGGACCACACAGCCTGGCTCCAGAGGCTGAGAAACCCAGGAGGGAGTGGGCTGACGCCCAGGCCCACTCCCATCCCTGCTGCGGGCTTCCCAGAGGGTCCGGCCCAACCGCCCACCCAGAGGCCACGTCTCCCAGGTGGTCTGAGGCCAGGAGGAGGGGGCAGGACCCCACTCCCCAACCCAGGGCACCAGGGCTGTCCCCTCCAGGACCCAGACCAGCGAGGCCTCCTAAGGGACCCACTGCAAAGCTCACTGCGGGCACCCCCCCACCAAGGGGAAGGGGAGGTTTGGGGACAGGCTTCCAGGTTCTCCTGCTTCTCAGCCCTGCAGCCCCCGAGTGGGGGTGCTGCTGCCTACAGCTGCCTGGGGGCATCCCCAGGCGGTGACGTCACCACACAGGGGATTCGCTGACCCCTGCTGGGACCTCGCCCCCCCCCACTGGAGGACACAGGCTCGCAGGGGCCAGAGCCGACACAGGCGGCCTGGGGAGCGGAGGTCGCTTCTGGAGGCAGAAGTGGGGGTCCCCTTCCAACTTCCCTTCCCCACCCCCCCAACAGCGCGGCAGCATCGCGTGCGCCCCCAGCAGGCACCCCAGCTTCCCGCCTCCGCAGCCACATTCCGCGGGGCACGCCCGGCAGGGCCTCCGCGGGCCGCTGTCACGCGATGGGGCGTCAGCGCCGCAGTGACAGCCGCTTGGCCCCCGGCCAGGGCCTCGCGTGCGAGCAGGGCCGCCCGCGCGCCCCACCCCCAGGCCTGCGGCGAGACTGGAAGAAGCCGAATGCGATTCCGAGGCTCTCCCGGAGGCCCCGCCAGGGCAGGGGCCGGGGCGGGGACGGGGGTGGGGGGGGGGGGGGGAGGCGGTGGAGCGGGGCCTTCTGAAAACCCCTCTGAGCCACAGCCCCCCAGGTCAGGGGGCCGGAAGTTGCCAGGGCAGCAAACTCTGGTGTGGATAGGGGTCAGAGCCAGGGCCAGGGGCTGGTGGTGCCAGTCCTCTTAATGGGGGATGGCACAGCAGTGGGGGAGTGGGGAGGGAGAGAGAGTAGGGAGCACCCCCAGGGTGGGGGGTTGGGGGAGCACCCCAGGGGTGGGGGGAGCAGCCCGCACTCCCCGTGGCCCTGTGGCCAGCATCTGGGTCTGCTCTTTCATCTCAGCATCTCTCTCCAGGGTTGGCCTCTCTCCCTCCCTGCCATGGCAGGCGGGGTTGGGGGGTCTCACCCACGATGACCTGGGACTGAGCTCCAGCTCCATCTGAGTGGGCCCCAGAGGGGAGGCCAGGGCTGCAGACAGGGTCTCTGCAGACAACCCCAATTCTGGTGCCCTCCCGCCAGGCCTCCGCTCAGACAAAGGGCAAGCCCACCACCATGCTCCTCTGCCGTGTGCTCCTGGTTGCCCCGGTAACATGCCAGGGAGAAGAGCTAGCAGAGAGCAGGTGTGTGTGTGGGGGGGGTCCATGGGGAAGTTTGTGGAAGTTGGAGAGGAGTCGCTGCGGCCTCTGGGCCCCGCGAAGAAGGACTTGGTGGGGGTGCTCCAAGGCCCAGGGCTCCAGGAACCCCCTGAGGTCCAGCCAGGGATAGGAGCCCGCACGTCTAAGGGTCTTGTGCCCCCACTGAGCTGCTATCCCCACCAGCCAGCCCTGTGTTGTCCCCAGAGAGGGCCAAGTCACATGACACAGGTTCCAGCCAGCACCCACGACCCACCCGCCCCACCCTGCAGGCAGCCGGCCTCCTCCCCACAACCTGGTCTCTGAGGGGCAGTGGGAGGGGCCGCCAAGACCCCCAGCCCCATGGAAGCTATCCTGGCCCGGGGCAGAGACTGGGGTCGGTCTCCTCACTGTCTGCAGACAGAGCTCAGGGCCTGCAGGCAGAAGAGGCGGCCGGTCAGGGCTGACCCCGCCCAGAAACGCACGGACTTCCTGAGGTTGACACAGTCCAGCCTGAGCCCTGAGACTGCCGGACCTGGGGCTCAGCCGGAGGCCCAGGGTTCCCTGCCCCCCGCAGGCCCCAGAGCTCTGGCCACAGCAGAGGGTTCTCACTGCCCTGTCTGAGCTGCCCGCCAGTAGACCCCAGAACCAACCAGAACCAGTTTCCCTCACTTCACTGACTCCCTGCATCCCTGAAAGGCTTCCCTGATATCTCAGTGGTACACAATCCACCTGCAATGCAGGAGACACAGGAGACATGGGTTTGATCCCTGGCTGGGGAAGATCTCCTAGAGGAAATGGCAACCCACTCCAGTATTTTTGTCGAAAAACCCCATGAAGCCTGGCAGCTTACAGCCAAAGGGTTGCAAAGAGTTGGACATGAGTGAATGTCCAAGTCCAACCCTGAGCTGCTTGTCTGGAGGAGAGAGGCTGTGTGTGATCATCATGCAGACGGCGGGCATCCCTGTGTGGGCTGGGCTGCACACATAGCCTGGGGGGGAGACTGGAGAGGCTGCTGCCCTTGGGGGCTCAGCCCCTCCGTACCTCACCTCCTTCCCTGTCCTTCACACAGAGGAGACTCAGGGCAGCTGCCACACTGGGCCGAGTCACGTGGCACAAGGACCCAGCCCCACCTGTCGCTGCTCAGGGTGCTGTGCTTGGGTCTGGCCACCGAGAGGTGCCAAGTGTCCCTGGTGGAGGAGAAACCTGGAGATGCCCCGTTTCTGCCTCTGGAAGTGCATGATGCCCAGAAGCCACCTTGCTCCTGGCCAGGTCCCCAGGGACAGGACAGGTGAGTCCAGATTATGGACACAGGGAATGTGGGGAGCAGGGGGCTGTCTGGGCATGGGGT